TACTAAACATATAAATATCTAATTATATGACTAGAGAAAAAAATTCTCAACTACAATTTCAAACACATCCTAAAACCTCGTAGGGATAGAAAACTGCACTTTGTCTTTTTCTTTTTCTTTTTCTTTTTCTTTTTCTTTTTTTTTTTTAAATAGAAAAAAAAGAAAAAGAAAAAAGAGAGTCCTTTCCTCCGGCTTCCAAGACCGAAACCGAAACTGTTCTTTGGAAGTACTACTACTTACCAGGTACGGTTTTGGCCCAACACAAAGAAATGTGGGCTTAATAAAGCCTAAAAAAACCTAAAGATTAGATACGGACTAAGCCCAGTTAAAATGCATGTGTATTGCGTGGGCCTCGCTTGGACAAGAAATAGCCATACTCCAATACGTCTTTGCATATCCCAGAGTAGGATTATTATGTTCCTGCAGACGAACAGTTGTGAGTGGGCAGAACGGACATTGTAGCGGGACTAAACTAAACCCGGACCCGGGACCCGGGACCCAGGACCCCGGACCCCGGATCCGGGACCCGGCCTGCTGCTGTGGAGTCCAAGGACGGAGTCCGACATCCACCACTTCCGGCCGTCGAATTTTCACGACACCCTGATCACCGCTTTTTTTTTTTCGGGGCATCTACGAGTGTCTCCTGTACATGTTTGCTGGATAACAGTTTCGTTCCTCAGCACTCTGTTTATTTCCCTTCCTCACTCATCTCCTCGCCTGCATTGTCTCTTTCAAACTCACAATCCATGGTTCGAAGTCGCTGGAGCTTCTGCCGTTCTCTTCTTCAATTTAGGTGAGCTTCCTCCTGAGTTTCTTTTTCACTTCTGGGTTTTACTGTTTTTTGTTGATTGGGTGTTTGCTTTATTGAATTTTTTCACTTAGCTTTTGTCTCTGTCAAGAAAAAAAACGTAAAGAGTGGAGTTTGAACAAAAGGGAAGGAAGGGAGTTGAACCAAAATGGTAAAGACGGCTGCTTTTTCTGTGACCTTTTGATTTTTTTTTTTTTTTGTCCTTTTCTGAGACAGCCAATTGAATTAAGAGCTAGGGTTTGGTTTCTTATATAGCATAATGCATGATTTCGAGTTGTTGTTATTATTATTATTATTTTGAAAGAAGAGTCCTTTTATAGATCACCAACAGTGAGTGTCCTTTTTTTGAAATAAATATATCTATGTTTGTTTATTTTTATGCTTTATAATCGGCAGATGGCCCTGTCATACTGTCATAATGGTAAAAGGTGGAATGTGAGATTTTGTTGTGTTCAGGCTTTAGAATCTGTATAAGCAAGATGGCAGATACGGAAATAATGGAACAAGATGTGCCAGAGGCTTCAGATGTTGCCCTTGTTGATGCCACTGTTGGAGAGCAAGAATCTTCTTGCCCTCCCCAGGTTCCAAGCCCTGGTGATGAAAGTCAATCACCTCATCCTGAGACAGCTGATGATATGACTCTTTCCTTGCCTACTGATATTTGTCTGAGTGATAGTCAAGATTTGCCTGATAACCTTGTTGATAAATCTGCTACTGATGCAAAAACAAATGCCAATGAGATTTCTCTTGCTGAACTGGAAGAGAAGAAAAGCAATGGAAATGAAAATGGAGATTTTCCCATACCCCCCCGCAGAAGCACAACTTTTGACACCTAAAGCTGAGGGAGAAAATGTGGGAATATCAAAGAATTTGTTGCTTGATCCCAAGGTACTAAATATAACGGGGAAGTCAGGAAAATTCTAACTGGTGAACATGAAACTTATAAATATTCTGTTAGTCCAGTGTTTATCCTACGCATATTTTATTCTTTGGATTACAGATGGGGGATGCTGCTGAAGCTGGGACACCAGAGGAGCGAGCAGAATTCATGAAGGAGCTTGAAGCTTTCCATAAGGAGAATTCCCTGGAATTCAAACCACCTAAGTTTTATGGAGAACCACTAAATTGCCTCAAGTAAGTTCATGATAGTGATTGATTTAGTGTTGCGATTATGTGTGTGGTTTCTGGTATGGCTGATAAATTCCATATTTTTGGAATGCAATGTAGACTATGGAGAGCTGTTATTAAATTGGGTGGCTATGAAGTGGTATGCGTTGTACTAAGTTCTCTAATCATTACTTTTAACCTTTTATGCTTTCTTGTTGTCAACTTGATTATTCTTAGCTACTGCATTTTGCATGTGATAGCAAATAAAAGTCTGAAAGATGACAGATGATCTATTCTTTTTTATGCTCATAGCACATATTTATTTATTTTTTGTGCAATTCTCATTGTCCTTAGGTGCCATTTTTTCCATATAATAATATGGATCATAGAGTAAGAAATCTAAAATGATCGGATTTTATCAATGTGCAAAGTAAAAACTGAATGGGATGGTGGCCTCTATAATGGCTAACAAAGTCAACTAATGATCTTTAACGAGGCTGCATCTTGGAAGCTTGTGTATCTGCTGAACTGGAATTGTGTTTGAAAATGCAATATTATACATGCTGGGCTGTTTAGGCAAGCAAAAAAATTGATGGATATGGTCTCTGGATATCTGTAGGTGACTGCATCAAAGTTATGGAGACAAGTAGGAGAGTCTTTCCACCCCCCAAAGTAAGGACCAGTATGGATTTTTTGTCATTTTGAAATTAGTGGTTTGTTCATCCCTTTCTTTTGTAGCCTGTATAGAATTGATGTTTTTTAAAATTAGTTTTTATTGTTAACCGCAGCATATAACATAGCTTTTAGCAAAGTTCCGTATTCTGTTTAGTGAAGTTAATCTCTCTCTTTCTCTCTCACTTTCAGGACTTGCACAACCGTATCTTGGACATTCCGCATTTTCTATGAGAAGGTAATCCTTGCTTTGTTGAAAGAAAATTAACTGTCCACAATCAAATATAATTGGTTGAATTTAGCTATCTTCTTTGTCTTGACAGTTTTTGTTATTTTCTTTGAAAATTAATGGCAGAACCCACAAATCACCCCTTTAAAAATATGGGTAGGGACGGATCCACCTTAAAAAAAAAAAAACAGGGACAAATGACCCTCCAAAAGTATCGATTGACCAAAATCGATCATTATTTAATAGATGATGTCATCACCATCACGATCTTCGTTTAGCCCATGCCAGCGTGTCGTTTTTTTACACGCTAGATGCTGATGTGTACCAATCTTGCTCTTTTCACACACCGTGTCACCCTTTATTCCCCTTTTCTAGTCATGGACCCCATTTAGCCCAAAAAAAAGGAAGAAGGAAAACCTCCAACTTCACTCTGATTTGCAACAAAAAATCAAAGACCCATTTCTCAAAGAAATCTTTGAACCAAATTCACTTTTGAGTACGGGACGAGAGTTGGCTCAACTCTTTTTTGGCGAATCTCAAGAAAATATTGAAGCTTTAAGGGGCCTCCGCACACTCAGTGTTGCAGTTGGTGATGGGGTTCAAGGTCAAGGACAAAGTAAAGGTAAGGCTTTGTAGTTGCTTTCTCTTGGAAAATGTTTGTTTATAAAGTTTTCTAGTTTGTCGTTGACCGTAAATGTTGGATGCATGTGCATTTTGTCTATTATATAATATATTTTATCATTGATGGACCACATTAATTTTGGTTTGTCTTACCATTGACCAGAATGGCAGATGATTACTGGGGGATTTTGTCTATTTTCCATGGGGGGATTTTGTCTATTTTCCATGGGGGGGACATTCGTGGCTGGACCTTCATTTGAGTACAAAGGGGGAATATGTACAGAACAGGCATTTGACTGTGATAGGTTGAATGTTGATGTCATCATGGATTTCATTGTAGGTTTAGGATATCAGGACATTATGGTTAAAAATATTTACTACAAAAGAATGTTAGCAAGCATACCTAGGCATTTAAAGTCTTTGGCAGGTGATGATAGTATTAGGGATATTATGAGAATTGTCAAAGAAGAGATGGTATGTGGGTTTTATGTGGACCATGAGGTTAATTTTGCTGAAATTGCTCCTCTACCAATAGGTTGGATTGATAATAATGTAGTTTATGAGGATTGGGGACCACAAGATAGGGTAGGCCAGAATTATAACAATGAAGTTAATGAGGGAGAAGAGGAAGGTGACATAGGGAACATAACCCAAGACAGGGCATTT